GGTTGGTTGGTTGGTTGGTTGGTTGGTTGGTTGGTTGATTGGTTGGTTGGTTGGTTGGTTGGTTGGTTCATTCGTTCGTTCGTTCGTTCAATGGTGTCAACCAGATTATGGTGGAGACTGTAAGCAGACAGACTCTGGGATTGATCCTGAAGAGGGGGGAGAACAGAGATGGACATGTTCCGACTGTAGTGATCCCCAACACTGTGGACAAATGGTGACAAGGTAATGGTTTCTTTGTATTGGAAACCAGGTTCGGTGGCTGTGTGATCCACTTGCTGTTTAGTTGGGTTTTCTGACAAAGCGTGTAGTTGGATGGTAGGCTGACTGATGTCACGTTAAACATAATAAGTTGCCGAGAAAATGCGATTTTTCATGCTGTTGAAAAATCAGGGCACCAGACTAGATGAAACAAAAGTAAGACAAAGAAGCCTTAACTCACTGGCGACCAGAGGCCAGACGTTCGGGGCATGTCTTTGGTTGATGATACATTAGATGTGTTATCTCCCCTTATTCTTTAGCCTCGTCTTCATTCTCTTCACATTATTACCATTTGTCAATGTCTGCCTTGTGGCAGGGAGTTAACTCTTTCATTTTTATTGGTTGTTGGCCGGGGGTGTTGTTGTTGTTGTTGTTGTTGCTGTTGTTGTTGTTGCTGTTGTTGTTATTGCTGCTGCTGTTGTTGTTGTTGTTGTTGTTGTTGTTGCTGTTGTAGTTGTTGTTGTTTTCATATTTTGTGGAGGGGGCGGAGGTGTTCTAATTTCGAGTTCTTCATCCTGTTGATTAAAAATGTCCTCCCTGCAGTTTTTCATAGCTTCCGTTGTCGACTTTACAGATTTTCTTAATACGTTTTGCAAGCTGCTTAGACATGGAACACTTGTTGTTAGCCAGTGAAACATGAGTTTGCGTCTTCTTCAGAATATGTGCAGTCTAAGTTGTAAATCTTCTTGCTTTCCTTTTTAGGAAAAAAAAAAAAGAATGGCTCTCTGCATGTTTACGCAGGTTCCATTAATAATTTCAGCTGCATATTTCGTATGTTTACTGCACATTTCGTTTCGCGTAGTTTTTCTCAATCTATTACTCCGATCTGTTTAGAGAATGTGGGCATGAATTTCTCTAATGAAACATTAAACATTGCGTTTACTTTATACACACACACACACACACACACATATATATATATATATATATATATATATATATATATATATATATATATATATATAAAATATATGTTATTCTGTTTGCTTTTCTTTTATTTTTAGAGCCTTTGTCACTCTGTTGACAAGGACATGCTTTTGGCTGACATTTGACATTATAATATTTCCATTTTCAAACATTCATTGTGGGTGGTTGGCGAGTGCTCTGGTAAAATTCTCACTAAAACAAAAAAAACAAAAAAACAAAATATTATTATCTTTATTCCTAGGTGTTGGCGAGGGAGTGAACCCGGAAGAGCTGCGTGTGATCGTCCAGGAGAGCCAGGAGCCCAACTACCTGGACAACTTCTCCCCCTTCCTGTCCGACAAGAGCACCAGACGCCGCCAGCTGTTCACCGTAGACGGGTTTGACAAGCTGGAGAATATCGTCATGGAGGCCACCATCGAGGCGTGCACATGTAAGGAACCACATTATAGCTAAGTTTGGCTTTGCTACCTCAGCATTACAAAGTTCTATCCGACAACATTTTTGGGTTGTTTTGAATTACATTAACCTAACCACCCAGGGCATCCCCTTGACCCAAGCTCTCCGGCTAGCGACCGAGAGACGTCTCTTTCTTCCCGTGACATCCAAAAGGGCGGAGAAACGTTTAAAAAGTTGAGTTACTAAGACCATGAGGTCAGAAATCAAATGTTCTAGTTGTTCTATCTATCAAAATCTTTAGATTATTCAGAGTCATTATCGAGATATTCAATTAACTGCATTTGAAAAAGCTTGACATGATATGAATCTCCAAATTTTTTACTTTAAATTTCTCAAAACTAGTTACTGGGCAGATAAAATTTGGTAATTCTGAGGTAACGACTTTGTGTCCCAGAGAAAGGCTTTTTACCAGAATGTTCACCATTTAGCTGGGTACGAAGGGGTGGACGTCAAATTTGGATATAGGTTATGAACGGCAATACTGAATTTTTTTTCTCCAACTTATGGTCACCATACGCAGAGGGACCTGCCTGGATCCTGTGGGTCGAACATAGAGGGGTTAGGTCATGTTTGAAGGTGAACTGGGATTGTAATTGTGGACATTCTATGTCCGACTCCTAAATAACCTTACAGAATTGCAAGGGGCGTTAAAACTATACAATTCCCCACTTTTTCTTAGATTTTTAGTTGCAAATCATCAGAATTTTTAATATATCCAAACATTTTCTTTCCTTTTTGGAATTTTGCAACTGAATGTATATAGCCCCATTGACAAACATTTATGTTATGTATATTCAAGCTGGTCTGCAATGGCCAAATTCGACCTCATGGGAATGGCATCCGAACAGAAAGGCGGAAGATTAAAAAAAAAAATTAAAAAAAAACCCTCACTCTTTCGCGTCGTGGGCATACATCGCCAAAGAGGTGGCCATTACATGACAGAGTCAGAGACATAGGTGTCTGAGAACAGTGGGGCCACTTTAGTTGATAGAGAGAACAAAAATATTATGACAAACAAAGGAAGTAATGAGATGTGAAGAGGCCATTTCCCTGAATTCCTTTGCTCTTTGCTCGGCGCGAGAGACATGTGCGGTCTAGAAGAAGAAGAAGAAGAATACTACAAGCAGAGCTGGTTGCATCTTTTCTGGATATGTTGGCATAAAAAAATTAGCCATGCACGCCTCATTGCAATAACCATCGCGTCTGCACGTGTTCAGACACTCACGTGAGCAGGGAACAGGTCGAGTTCAAGAGCATTCTGAGATGCAGAGTGGGAGCGAGGGAGAGAGAGTGATATGGCCTTGTGAAGGTCAACTGGACAGGGTTTTGGGAGGTCGGTGGAAAAGGCTGGGTAGTGTTTGTTTAGTTTGGGGGGGGGGTTGTTGTTTTTTTCTCGAGTAGGTGAGGTCTTCTAGCTTTGTGTCTGTCTGTCTGTCTGTCTGTCTGTCTGTCTGTCTGTCTGTCTGTCTGTCTGT